GGGGGGGGGGACTGAGGATTTAACCCAGGGATGCTTTACCACCAAGCTACACCCCCATCCTTTTTAAAAATTTTGAGACAGGGTCTAGATGAGTTGTTGACGCCTTGAATTTGCAATCCACCTGCCTCAGACTCCCAAGTCCTGGGATTACAGATGGGTGCCACTGCACTTAGCTGATTCTTATTTTCTTGTCAGGTGACAGGATTAGGATGATGGTTGTCAACAACCATAGAGGGATGAACAGAGACAAAATAGAGAGATGCAGATATTAGAAAGGGCCAAGACCACACATGAACCAATGATGAGATAAACTTTTTGTTATAATCAATGACTAGTCCAATTCTGCATACTTGAGGTTCAAAATAAAAAGCAATTTTAAGAGATGATTTAAAAAGATGAATTACTGGGCTGGGATTGTGGCTCAGCGGTAGAGTGCTTACCTAGCACAGGTGGGTCAGGGGTTCGATTCTCAGCACCACATAAAAATAAAGGCATTGTGTTGTGTCCATCTACAAAAAATTTTTAAAAAAGATTCTCTCTCTCTCTCTCTCTCAAAAAAAAAGATGAATTACTGATTAAGACATTTAAAATATACAGAACTGCATTTATAAAACACAATAGATCATTAAGCAGAATCCATCAAATTTTAATTCTTTAGGGACATCTCAAAGAAATGAACTATACCTTCACCAGAATATTAAAATTTTAAAAAGTTCAAGCTGCCTAACCTCTTCTTGAATATACATTAATAGTAAGGGAGATGCTCTTATATTATCCATGGAATATTGAAGAAACTTGGAATTTCCTTTTAGTGTAAATCCATACTAATGAGGAGTGTTAGACTTCAAAATTAAGCAGAGATAAGCACATAAATAGCTGTAAAACAAGATGCACCACAGGAAATTAGTACAAAGTAAATGAAAATATTCATGTAATAAGTTACTATGAAAAAATTACTTTCCTATTAAAAATCCCTAGCACTTTTATGGTTCAGATTCCTTGGCACTATGAAATGCATATTTTTTAATTAACAAAGTTTAAAATAACAAAGATGACAGTAACATAGAAATGTCTCTTAAAAATTCTATTAGAGTGGATTTTATCTCCTTGAAGTTTCCTTAATAACAAAGCCAACAGAGAAACTGTATCAAGTTGGAAATGAAGCAAATTAAAAACCTTCACTACATCTTTAAAGAATATCTGAAATGACCATTAGCAAGTGTAGGGAAAATTCGATAGAAAAAATTCATAAAGCAATCCTTACCCCAAAAAGTGAGCCTGTGGAAGGTTGGAAGAGAAGGATGGAAACTTTCCAAATGACTCAGTGGGAAGCCCCTGCCTCCTTTTCAGTGCCTGTCACAGTGTTGTCAAGGAGAGATGCTGCTGAGGTCCCTGGGGTTTTACTTTTGTCTTCTTTGGTCTGGTACACTGGAAAAT